TGAGGGCAACAAATAATAACTTGACTTCTAGATGGTTATTTGGAAAAGTGGCAGAAGGTAGACTTTTCATCTGTTGAACTGCAATCATCACAAATACTGCAGAAGACCTACTGGAACCAGAATGAACCCAAGATTCTCTTAGAAATCAGTCAAGTTTAGTGAAGGAAAAATCATGGTTTGGGGTTACATTCAGTATGGGGGCGTGCAAGAGATCTGCAGAGTGGATGATCAACATCAACAGCCTGAAGTATCAAGACATTTGTGCTGCCCATTACATTACAAACCACAGGAGAGGGACAATTCTCCAGCAGGATAGCGCTCCTGCTCATACTTCAGCCTCCACATCAAAGCTCCTGAAAGCAAAGAAGATCAAGGTGCTCCAGGATTGGCCAGCCCAGTCACCAGACATGAACATTATTGAGCATCTCTGGGGTAAGATGAAAGAGGAGGCATTGAAGATGAATCCAAAGAGTCTTGATGAACTCTGGGAGTCCTGCAGGAACGCTTTCTTCGCCATTCCAGATGACTTTATTAATCAGTGATTTGAGTCATTGCAGAGATGTATGGATGCAGACCTCCGAGCCACACACAATATTCATTCATGACTTTATATTCTATACTGGACATTAGACTTTTGTCTAAGCAAAGTCAGATCTTACTGTCCTAATGAAATAATTAACAATCAAGGCATGATCATATTTTATTGTGGTAAAATAAGCGTAATCTAGAGGCCTTTGCCTTTCATATAAGCCACTTCTGATACCAAATAATCAACTAGAAGTCCAGTTATTATTTATTGTTCCTAAAACTTGGATAGGCAACAAGACTTTTGTCAGGTCGAGTACATTAAGGCCTCAAAATACATATAATTTATTAATTCAGTCTCTGATTTTTGACAATTATAAAAGACAGGTAAGGGGATTCTTTGCATGTAAGCCCCTCAAAATACACATTATATATGTAGTCATTTGTTGTACATATTAAAAGATATGTTTTGTTCTGATAATTTTGACGGGTGTATACATTGATCACTTTTAGAAATATATAGATGAGCAATATCACACGAGTAGCAGTGCGATATGGCTGTATAACGGCACTTGTGAGAGGCGTGCATTGGCTTGAGACCGCAGGAGTGCCTTAGTGTCCCACCAGTGACGATATATAGACATATCGCACTGCTACTCGTGTGATATTGCGCTTATACAACAGTTTGACAGCATAATTGTGTGTATAAAAAAGAAAATCAAACACAGAGAGTCTAAAAACCCTTTTAAATGAGGAACTACTTTCTTCCGCCATTCATTCACATCTGCAGCTGACGTCAGAACAGCAGAAGCCGTTACTAATTCACCAATGTCACTTTAGAGGTAGTGTTTGAATGATTCTCTAGTGTAATGTCTGACGTAATGACAAAACTGGTGGTTTTGTTCACATTTTAAGATTATAAGGCTGAACTTCATGAAATGCCATCAGTCTACAGAGATTTCCCAGTATTTCCCTGTTATAATCAGAGCACGATAATTAACACAGAAAAAGCCAAAGCAAAGCAAACACTGGCAGATTACTGTTGTATAAATACAGCACTACAACATACAAAAGAGAAAGATCCACTTAGAAAGTCACTTACCCGATTTAATGATTTGATCAGCTGTAGTTTGAAATTCACTCTGAGTTTTCTCCCTTAAGGACTTATTATGTGGGCTGTGTCGTTATCTTGTGGCTGAACGTCAACCATCTTTGCTCTGCTCAGTATGACAGGCTAATGGCTAACGCCGATGTGCTGAATCCGAAATTATAAATAATTAAAATTGGCACTGTCCTTATTAATAAACTGCATAACTGCACTGTGTTAACCATGCTATGTCTGACTGCTCTGTTTTAAATATAGGGGTACCTCAGGGATGTGTATTATCACCTCTTTTATTTTCTATATATATTAATGAACTGCAGTGCAATACTGATGACAATCCCACACTCATAAAATATGCTGATGATCTGGCATTGGTTTCCTGTCAGGAAGAAATAAACAGCTCTTTATATTTTAGATATATTGATAGTATTACAGATTGGTTTGGCAAAAGTTCATTACACCTAAATATTGGGAAAACAAAAGAGTTATGTCTGGGGAGTCAAACAAGAAGAGTAGATACTGAACTCTTTAAACCAGTCACCATAAACGGACAAATAGTAGAGCAGGTTTCAAATTTCAAGTATTTAGGCACAATTATTGACAATAAATTGAATTTTAATAGTAATGTAGAGGCGGTTTATAAGAAAGCAAGTCAGCGCCTCTATCTCCTCCGCAAATTGAGAAGTTTTAATGTTAGTACACAGACTTTAAACATGGCATATAGATCACTTATAGAGAGTGTTCTCTCATATAATATTGTTTCATGGTTCGGTAACACAACTCTTAAACAGAAAAAGAAATTAGCGCAAATTATAAATCAGGCAAATAAGATAACAGGTCACAAACAGCATTCATTGCAGATTTTATTTGACTCTTTTATGGAAAAAAGAGCAGTTGTGATTTTTAAAGATAATACACATCCCCTTCACTCAGCATTTGAACTGCTACCATCAGGACGCAGGTTTAGAATTCCTATAGCACGAAGAAATGCCTATAAAAAGTCATTTATCCCAATGGCAGTTGTTGTTCTAAACCGGATCAATGTTTGTAGGAAATGAGGTGGTTACCAAGTATGATTTGCAGTATTGTGCATGGGACTAATTTGGTTTTTAAACTTTTAACCTATGTTGTTGTGTTGGTAAGTGTTATTGTGTCGTTGGTGTATGTTTGTAATTGTTGTCCTAAATCCAGTGTTGAAGAAAAATTTCCTTTTTGTGTCAAGCAGAACGGACAATAAAGTTTAAACTAAACTAAACTAAACTAAATAGTTGCAATGTAAACAACTTCATTCTCAACTAAAAAGCCTCAAAGTACATCATGTTGCCCAACAGCTGTAATTTTTGTAAAACTGTAGTGAGTTGTTTAGTCCCAGTGTTGGGGCAGTAATACAGAAGGGTGAAAAGGCTGTAGGAGTAGTGATATTGCTTTAAGAGCTCACGGCTATCAGCCAATCAGATTCGAGAACCAATCAGAACTGTTGTGCAAATTCATTTATATTACTCTCATAACACTTGTAAAATATTATTTATCCTTCAACCCAAGTCTCACACCTTTTTGGGAATGAAATGCATCACATTTTTCATCTGACTGAACATTTTTGCTGAAAAGAGTCATTTTTGGGTTGTTTTGTTAGTAAATGTAGTTTCATTAATTCAGATAGTTTATGAATTAAACTATTGTGGTGGTTCTATTATTGAAATCATTACTGTGATTGTCCGATTTAGCATATTTTAAAAGAAACCCCTCTAAAACCAGCCTGGCAAACCAGCTATGACCAGCCTGGGAAACCAGCTAAAACCAGCCTGACCAGCTAAGACTAACTAAAAAGTGACTGAAACCTCTCTAAAACCAGCTAAGACTAGCTTGACCAGCTAAGATCAGCTGACCAACTAAAACCAGCTAAGGCCAACCTGACCAACTAGATAAAAAGTGGCCAAAACCCCTGTAAAATCAGCCTGGCAAACCAGCTATGACCAGCCTGGGAAACCAGCTAAAACCAGCCTGACCAGCTAAGACTAACTAAAAAGTGACTGAAACCCCTCTAAAACCAGCTAAGACTAGCTTGACCAGCTAAGATCAGCTGACCAACTAAAACCAGCTAAGGCCAACCTGACCAACTAGATAAAAAGTGGCCAAAACCCCTGTAAAATCAGCCTGGCAAACCAGCTATGACCAGGCTGGGAAACCAGCTAAAACCAGCCTGGGTGACCAGCTAAAACCAGCCTGACCAGCTGGTTTAAGCTGTTTTTTTTCAGTAGGGAAGTCTCAAAACTTGAGCAGCTTTTATAGTCAGTATAAATAGCAAAAACATTAAAAAAAAATTTAACATCAATATTGTGTTCGGGTGTTATTAAGAGTAAAATTGCCTTGTGTAGCCTCTTAATTATAATAAAACTCGATGTTTAATCATTCCATGAATATGTTTAGCCTGTTGGTCGGCTAGCCATTTGTAAAACCGGACTCATAAATATTACAAAATTCATGTTAATATGATTACAATATTATGATAATGATTTCTGCCTGCTTGTTTACATAGGTTATATATTGTTTGGTGTAGAAAAGAAAGTGTGATGTTTGTCCCCCTATACAGCAGAGGCGCCATTGTTGTGCTCGTTTTCTGAAAAGTGCGCGCTCTTTTCTGGCGTCATAAAGCGGCGCGGAGAAATAAATATTGGGTAGAATAGATTAATAAAGCTCTCACAATAGGCGGTTCTTACCTCACGGATAACTTCAGTTTTTTTGTGTAAATGTTGATAGTATTTAAACAGAACAATTTACAAACTCAATAATGAACAATAAATGCATATAACAAAATATAAACGCTTCCAACTACTTTCCAAAATATCCCTTTGTGTGTACACATATTTTATACATAACATATTCAACATGGACGTTTAAGGGGGTTGCGAGGAAGACAAATAAAACAAAATACATAATATAAATAGAGTTCAGAATATTAACGGAAAAAGACTTAGATATGGTTTTGACAAATTCATTAAAAGCCTTATTATCTTTGTTTAATACTTCAAAAGACGTGAATGTTTATTCGATACGCTTGATTTCAAGTGGTGCCTGTTACTTTTCTAAACGTCTTTGATTGTGGACCAATCACAAGCGTTTACGATTACAAACGAATATATTTTGTTTCATTGTTTAACAAGGATTGCGCTGGAATTTATCAGTATGCTTAATATATAATAGTCTGTAGAAAATTAAATATTAAAATAAATGAATACACGTTGCAGCACAAACATTTCTAATAAAACAAATGTGTATTCAAATATTGAATGGAACTTAACGTAGAATCCGATTTGTGGGCCGCCGAGCGCCCCCTGCAGTAATAAAAGCGTGTGTTCTGCAGGAAACGGTCATTATAGAGAGCTTTCAGAGAGAAGTGACGCATGACAGCGAATCTCTGAACTATAAAACCAGTCTGAAAGTTTCTCACCACGCAAACTGGTGTGGTTTAACTGGTAAAAAAAGTGCGCGGCTCCTGAGTGACACTCGCTGCTGTTGTTTTTCCTCCGCGCTTCACTCCTGTGTTGTTCAGCAGTTCTTCGGTGTGTGTGTGAGCATCAGTGTTTCAGTCTCTCCACACGCACACACTGTAGCGGTCAGGATGGTGCTGTTGAAGAGTTTACCTCCACCCAGCGAGGGCGTGCGACTCCAGCAGGCCGAAACCACCGCGGTCCTGGACGGGAAGAGGCTCGGATTGGGGACCCTGTTCGTAGCGGAGGCGTGAGTGTGTGTTTGAGCTTGAGCTTGAGCTCGTGTGTGTGTGTGTGTGTGTGTGTGTGTGTGTTTGTGAGAGTTGAGAGAGAGAGAGAGCGCTCCAGTGGTCGTGTGTATGTCTGTTTAAGTTCCAGTGTGTGTGTGTGTGTGTGTGTGTGTGTGTGTGTGTGTTTGTGTGTGTGTGTGTGTTTGTGAGAGAGAGAGAGCGCTCCAGTGGTCGTGTGTATGTCTGTTTAAGTTCCAGTGTGTGTGTGTGTTTGTATTTATTTTTGAGCTTCAGTGTTTGTGGCATGTATGTTTTGTTTGTTTGTTTGTTTGTTTGTGTGTGTGTGTGTGTGTGTGTGTGTGTGTGTGTGTGTGTGTGTGTGTGTGTGTGAGTGAGTGAGAGAGAGAGAGCTCCAGTGGTCGTGTGTATGTCTGTTTAAGTTCCAGTGTGTGTGTGTTTGTATTTATTTTTGAGCTTCAGTGTTTGTGGCATGTTTGTTTGTTTGTGTGTGTGTGTGTGTTTATTTAAGATGTATGCGTTTGTATGTGTTTTAGCTCCAGTGTGTGTTTGAGTTCTGGTGTTCATGTGGTTTATGTGTGTGTTTTGTTTTTGTGTGTGTTTTTTGAGCGTGTGTGTGTGACAGATATGAGCATAATATAACAACAATGCAAGCCTATGAAGTCATCTCTAAGATAGGAAAACAAACTGGTATGGATGTATGTATGCAAGCATGCATGTATGCAAGTATGTATGTATGCAAGTATGTATGCAAGTATATATGCATGTATGCAAGTATGTATGCAAGTATGTATGTTTGCAAGTATATATGCATGTAAGTAGGCAAGTATGTATGCAAGTATGTATGTATGCAAGTATATATGCATGTATGCAAGTATGTATGCAAGTAGGCAAGTACGTATGCAAGTATGTATGCATGTATGCAAGTATGCATGCAAGTATGTATGCAAGTATATATGCATGTATGCAAGTATGTATGCAAGTAGGCAAGTATGTATGCAAGTATGTATGCAAGTAGGCAAGTATGCAAGTATGTATGCAAGTATGTATGCAAGTAGGCAAGTATGCAAGTATGTATGCAAGTATGTATGTATGCAAGTGTATATGCATGTATGCAAGTAGGCAACTATGTATGCTAGGCAAGTAATTATGCAAGTAGGCAAGTATGTATGCAAGTAGGGAAGTATGTATGCAAGTGTATGCATGTATGCAAGTATGTATGTATGTATGTATGCAAGTATGTATGCAAGTTATGTATGTATGTATGTATGTATGTATGCGTGTTGGTTTAGTTTTACTTCTGAGGGCTCAGTTATCCTCAATATAAAAATGACCAACTAGTTAGGGCTACTCTCTGGTCCTCCCTAATTTATAATGTTTATAAATTGTTTAGAACATGTTAATACTATTATCTAATGATTGGCACTTGTTTCTTTAAACGACAGTCATTTATGTCTTAAGACTTCTCCATGTATGTGTATGTATACACCTCATCATGTGTAAGATATTCATTAGTTTATTTTAACTGTAGGGGCTAAGCATAGCACACATGTGACATTTTCCTAACTCCTCAGTGTTGTGTGCCGTCACAGACAGCTGTCCTGGTTTGATGGATCAGGGATGGGTTTCTGTCTTGAATATCCGACCATCAGCCTCCACGCAATCTCACGAGATCTCAGCGCCTTTCCAGAAGAGCACCTGTATGTGATGGTCAATGCCAAACTGGACGGTAAGACGATCTCTTATAAAACGCATACAGTGCCCTACAATAATGCTGACATCCTTGCTGAGTATAAGAAAACAAGGCTTTAATAAGTTATTATATACAGATATAGTTGATCACTTGATTGATGCATATAGGAGATGTCTATGCGCTCATGTTTAATGAAGCAATTATTGTCGATCTCAGTTGTGAGAGCAACAAATATTAACTTGACTTCTAGTTGATCATTTGGGAAAGTGGCAGAAGGTTGTGCTGCATCCCAATCATCACAAATACTGCAGAAGACCTACTGGGACCAGCATGGAGCCAAGGCTCTCACTGAAATCAGTCAAGTCTGGTGAAGGAAAAATCATGGTTTGGGGTTACATTCAGTATGAGGGCGTGTGAGAGATCTGCAGAGTGGATGACAACATCAACAGTCTGAGGTATCAAGACATTTGTGCTGCCCATTACATTACAAACCACAGGAGAGGGACAATTCTCCAGCAGGATAGCGCTCCTGCTCATACTTCAGCCTCCACATCAAAGCTCCTGAAAGCAAAGAAGGTCAAGGTGCTCCAGGATTGGCCAGCCCAGTCACCAGAGATGAACATTATTAAGTATGTCTGGGGTAAGATGAAGGAGGAGGCATTGAAGATGAATCCAAAGAGTCTTGATGAACTCTGGGAGTCCTGCAGGAACGCTTTCTTCGCCATTCCAGATGACTTTATTAATCAGTGATTTGAGACAGTGCAGAGATGTATGGATGCAGACCTCCAAGCTCATGATGGAGTCACACACAATATTCATTCATGACTTTATATTCTATACTGGACATTAGACTTTTGTCTAAGCAAAGTCAGATCTTACTGTCCTAATGAAATCATTGAAAGATCAAGGCATAATCATGTTTTATTCTGGTAAAATAAGCGTAATCTAGAGGCCTTTGCCTTTCATATAAGCCCTGTATGATATCAAATGATCAACTAGAAGTCAAGGTATTATTGGCTGTTTTTAAAACTTAAATAGGCGACAGGTAGTAAATTATGTATGCATGTAATTTTTTATTTTTTTTTACAGACCTGTAGTTTATTCCTATCCATATTTGACATTTTATAAAATAACAGAATGATGAGGAACAGTAAATTGCTCCTTTAATGGCTGTAAATATTAGAAACCCAAAGACAAAAACTCACTCAGAAAATGCCACAAATACTCCTAAAGGTACAAACTTTTTTTGGGAATAGGTTCATTTTACAATTCTTTTAGAGTGAAACGGATTAATTTTAACATTATTACATCCATCCAGCTGATCTCTGTGTGGCTTTTAGCTTAGCTTAGCATAAATCACAGAATCCAATTAGACCATTAGCATTTCACTAAAAAATATAAAATAAAAATGCAGTATGATCTATTTTCTATTTATGCATGACTTGATGAGAGAAATGTTATTTCATCATGTATTAATATACATTGTTGATGTATATTAATACAGTGTGTGTGTGTGTGTGTGTGTGTGTGTGTGTGTATATATATATGTGTATGTATATATATGTGTGTGTGTATATATATATATATATATATATATATATATATATATATATGTATGTATATATATGTATATATATATGTATGTATATATATGTATGTATATGTGTGTATATATATATATATATATATATATATATATATATATATATAATCAATATATATTGATTATATTGTTGATGGTTTTTATTGATTTGTTTGCTTTTTTTAGGTTCATCTTAGGAAAGACAGAGAATATTAGCATTGTAAATACAATATAAATAATGTGGAGACATATAAACATACACAAACACAACGCCCCATTAGTGAAGAGCTCTACAAGCTGTGGTTTAATCTGAGGGATGGGGATTGTGTTTGCAGATGAAGGGGAAGCAGCGCCGCTGGAGAAAGATCCAGATGAAGAAGATGAGGATGAAGAGGACAGTGATAGTGAAAGCTCAGGAGAGATCACGGAGATCCGCTTCGTGCCCAGTGATAAAGCTGCATGTGAGTGTGTGAAACAAACACTGAGGAAATAAGGGCTGGGCGTCTTTACACTGCAGAAAATGCTCTTCTTACTTGGTATTTGTCTTCTAGTCCAAATATCTATAAAATCTTAAACGAAGAAGCAAATTCCAGATTTAAAAAAAGCTATTTTTATCTTGATTTCAGAAATATCATGTCAAAATAAAGTGAGTTAGGGTTAGGGTTTTTACCTTGAAACAAGCAAAATAATCTGCCAATGGATACTCATGTTTTTGTTTTGAAGTAAGATTATTTTAGTTTACCCCATTAGCAGATTATTTGTCTTTTAGGGCGGGGCTATCAGTCATTTAGGGCAGAGCTATCAGTCGTTTAGGACGGGGCTATTAGTCATTTAGGGCAGAGCTATCAGTCATAAGGAGTGGAGCTATTATTTGCAAAGGGTGGAGCTATCACTCATTTAGGGCGGAACTATCAGTAATTTAGCTTTCAGTCATTTAGGCTATCAATTATTTAGGGCGGGGCTATAAGTCAATTAGGGTAGGGTCATCAGTCTTTTAGGGCGGAGCTATCAGCTGATTAGGGTGGGGCTTTCAGTCTTTTGGGGCAGAGATCTCAGTCATTTAGGGCCTTGCCATATGTCGTTTAGGGTGGAGCTATCTGTCATTTAGGGCAGGGCTATGAGTCATAAGGGGTGGAGCTATTATTTTCAAAGGCTGGAGCTAAGTCATTTGGGGCGGGGCTATCAGTCATTTAGGGCGGAGCTACCTTTCATTTAGGGCGAAACTCAGTAATTTAGCTTTCAGTCATTTAGGCTATCAATTGTTTAGGGCGGGGCTATGACTCAATTAGGGTAGGGGCATCATTCTTTTAAGGCGGAGCTATCAGTTGATTAGGGCGGGTCTATCAGTCATTTAGGGCAGGGCTATCAGTCGTCTAGAGCGGAGCTATCAGTCGTATGGGGTGGAGCTATTATTCACAAAGGGTGGAGCTATCAGGTATTTGGTGGGGCTATTTGTCGTTTAGGGCGGAGCTATCATTTGTTTAGGATGGAACAATCAGTCTATACTGGGCATGGCCATTAGTCTTTTAGGGTAGGGCTTTCAGTCCTTTAGGGTGGTGCTATCAAATATTTCGTCCATTCGTCAATCTTCCTATACTTTGTTTGCAATGTCACTTTATTTTGACCTGATATTTCTGAATATAAGACAATATTTTTCTTGTCTTAGAAATATTTCTTGATTTAATAATTTTTAAATATTTAAATGTGTGTGTGTGTGTGTGTGTGTGTGTGTGTGTGTGTGTACAGTGGAGCCCATGTTCAGTGCCATGTGTGACTGTCAGGCTCTTCATCCAGACCCAGACGACGCAGACAGTGAGGATGATGATGATTATGAAGGAGAGGAGTATGACGTCGAGGAGGCCGGTGAGTGACGATCTTACCCATGATGCATCTGGTTTCTTACTACAAGCTCATTAAGGGTGCTTTCACATTAGCACTTTTTTCCGCACCCTGGTTCGTTTGACGTCAGAGTACAGTATATTTAGCTAGTGTGAACTTGTCTTCTGAACTCTGGTGCGCACGCGTGAACCGTACCCGAGTCCGCCTGGAAGAGGTGGTCTGGGGTACAGTTTGTCCGAACTCTGGTCTGGTTCACTTTTGATTTGAAAGCAATCGCACCAAAAAATGGAAGTGAACAGTCAACAGTACAACAAACTTTAGTTTTCATAACGTTCATTCGTGTGTGTGTGTGTGTCTGTGTATCACCTACCTGATAACAAAACCAAAAGATTCAGTAAGTAAGATTATTTAGTTTACCCCATTGGCAGAATATTTGTCCTTTACGTTGGAGCTGTCAGTCTTTTAGGGCGGAGCTATCAGTCGTTTAGGGTAGGGCCATCTGTCGTTTAGGGCTGGATTATCAGATGTTTAGGGTGGAGTTATCGGTTGTATAGGGTGGAGCTATCATTTGCAAAGGGTGGAGCTATCAGTCATTTAGGGCAGGACTATCAGTCGTTTAAGGCGGGGCTATCAGTCATTTAGGGCAGGACTATCAGTCGTTTAAGGCGGGGCTATCAGTCATTTAGGGCAGGACTATCAGTCGTTTAAGGCGGGGCTATCAGTCATTTAGGGCAGGACTATCAGTCGTTTAAGGCGGGGCTATCAGTCATTTAGGGCAGGACTATCAGTCGTTTAAGGCGGGGCTTTCAGTCATTTAGGGCAGGACTATCAGTCGTTTAAGGCGGGGCTATCAGTCATTTAGGGCAGGACTATCAGTCGTTTAAGGCGGGGCTGTCAGTCGTTTAGGGCAGGACTATCAGTCGTTTAAGGCGGGGCTATCAGTCATTTAGGGCAGGACTATCAGTCGTTTAAGGCGGGGCTGTCAGTCGTTTAGGGCAGGACTATCAGTCGTTTAAGGCGGGGCTATCAGTCATTTAGGGCAGGACTATCAGTCGTTTAAGGCGGGGCTATCAGTCGTTTAGGGCAGGACTATCAGTCGTTTAAGGCGGGGCTATCAGTCATTTAGGGCAGGACTATCAGTCGTTTAAGGCGGGGCTATCAGTCATTTAGGGCAGGACTATCAGTCGTTTAAGGCGGGGCTATCAGTCATTTAGGGCTGGACTATCAGTCGTTTAAGGCGGGGCTATCAGTCATTTAGGGCAGGACTATCAGTCGTTTAAGGCGGGGCTTTCAGTCATTTAGGGCAGGACTATCAGTCGTTTAAGGCGGGGCTATCAGTCATTTAGGGCAGGACTATCAGTCGTTTAAGGCGGGGCTGTCAGTCGTTTAGGGCAGGACTATCAGTCGTTTAAGGCGGGGCTATCAGTCATTTAGGGCAGGACTATCAGTCGTTTAAGGCGGGGCTATCAGTCGTTTAGGGCAGGACTATCAGTCGTTTAAGGCGGGGCTATCAGTCATTTAGGGCAGGACTATCAGTCGTTTAAGGCGGGGCTATCAGTCATTTAGGGCAGGACTATCAGTCGTTTAAGGCGGGGCTATCAGTCATTTAGGGCTGGACTATCAGTCGTTTAAGGCGGGGCTATCAGTCGTTTAGGGCAGGACTATCAGTCGTTTAAGGCGGGGCTATCAGTCGTTTAGGGCAGGACTATCAGTCGTTTAAGGCGGGACTATCAGTCATTTAGGGCAGGACTATCAGTCGTTTAAGGCGGGGCTATCAGTCATTTAGGGCAGGACTATCAGTTGTTTAAGGCGGGGCTATCAGTCATTTAGAACAGGACTATCAGTCGTTCAAGGCGGGGCTATCAGTCATTTAGGGCAGGACTATCAGTCGTTTAAGGCGGGGCTATCAGTCATTTAGGGCAGGACTATCAGTCGTTTAAGACGGGGCTATCAGTCATTTAGGGCAGGACTATCAGTCGTTTAAGGCGGGGCTATCAGTCATTTAGGGCAGGACTATCAGTCGTTTAAGGCGGGGCTATCAGTCATTTAGGGCAGGACTATCAGTCGTTTAAGGTGGGGCTATCAGTCATTTAGGGCAGGAGTATCAGTCGTTTAAGGCGGGGCTATCAGTCATTTAGGGCAGGACTATCAGTCGTTTAAGGCGGGGCTATCAGTCATTTAGGGCAGGACTATCAGTCGTTTAAGGCGGGGCTATCAGTCATTTAGGGCGGATGTAATTTATCAGTAATTTAGCATTCAGTCATTTAGGCTATCAGTTGTTTAGGGTGGAGCTATCAGTCATTTAGGGCAAGACCATCTGTCGTTTAGGGCGGGGCTATCAGACGTTTAGTGTGGAGCTATCAGTCGTCTGGGGTGGAGCTATTATGAACAACCGTGATATGCGGACGTCTCCATTTTGGTCCTTTGCTTTCGTGGCCATCAATTAGCAACAGCAATACACAAAACAGCAGCTTGATGACGCAAGTGTACCGGGTTCAGAAGAAAAAAAACACAATGTGAACATAAACCAGCCGAGGACAGACAATTGAACTTGGTTTGAAAGAAGAATGAAAGAACCCTTATTGCCAAAGACAATATAGAAAAGGCACCATTAAAGGGTTAGTTCAGCCCATGACTTGCCCTCAAAACAACCTTTATAGCTTTATATTGTAAATCTTCTTTCAGTTAAGTCCATTCAGAAAAGCCCCCCCCTCCACCCAAAAAAAAAATACAAGTCCAATATAAAAGTGCATTTGTCCACATTTAAAAACAAAAGTGACTCCAGGCGGTGAATTAAGGTCTCCTCAGTATGAATGGTTGTGTAACTATTTATTATGTCCACTGAACAAGCCTTTTAATGAAACAAACAGCGTACATGGTGTTAGCCATAGATAATTTGGTAAATATCAATAGACTACTTTAAATAGTTTAAATAAATTTGAATTATTTTTTAAATGACAGTATTTAAGTGCATAATTTAAAATGATCAAATAAAGCCCTTTTAATTATAAACAAGTGATTTTTTTTTTAAATAATTATTAAAGTGACAACTTAAAATAATTCACAATTACAGAGTTCAAACACTTTTTTTTTTTTATTCTAAAATTAGTCGTTAAAAAGGGACATTTTTTAGAGCAGTAATCACAATACAGTGATATTTATTTTTATCCAAATTTATCACACTGTCAGAATCTAACGCCATGCCTAGTGGTGTTGCTTTGTGTTGTAGTTAGGAAAGTGAGAGTGCTTTGGGAAGGTTGTTTCCGTCATGTCTGCTGTGTTTGTGTTTTTGTCCTCCATCAGAGCAGGAACAGGCTCAGGCTCACGGTGACATTCCCTCCTTCTACACCTATGAGGAGGGTTTGTCTCACCTGACGGCGGAGGGTCAGGCCACGCTGGAGCGTCTGGAAGGCATGTTGGCGCAGTCCGTCGCCCAGCAGTACCACATGGCAGGAGTTCGCACAGAGGAGCCCGATGCACAGTTTGAAGGTGACATCTTTTTATTTTTCATCTCACCAAACTGCACTATAGTCAGAATAGATACAAATCTGACTCACAAGCTCACAATTCAGTTCTTGATTCTGTTTGGTATATACAGTTGAAGTCAGAATTATTAGCCCCTGATTTATTAGCTCCTCTGTTTATTTTTTCCCCAATTTCTGTTTAACTGAGAGAAGATTTCTTCAACACATTTCTAATCATAACAGTTTTAATAACTCATTTCTAATAACTGATTTATTTTATCTTTGACATGATGACAGTAAATAATATTTGACTAGATATTCTTCAAGACAATCCTACACAGCTTAAAGTGACATTTAAAGGCTTAACTAGGTTAATTAGGTTAACTAGGCAGGTTAGGGTAATTATGCAAGTTATTGTATAATGATGGTTTGTTCTGTAGACTATCAAAAATATATATAGCTTAAAGGGGCTAATAATTTTGTCCCTAAAATGATGTTTAAAAAATTAAAAACTGCTTTTATTCTAGCCGAAATAAAACAAATAAGACTTTCTCCAAAAGAAAAAAATATTATCAGACATACTGTGAACATTTCCTTGCTCTGTTAAACATCATTTGGGAAATACTTAAAAAAAAAGAAAAAATTCAAAGGGGAGCAATCCAATCTGACTTCAGTGGTAAAGGTCAGAGATGCCCAAACTAGGGCCCACGGGACAAAGTTAGCCAAAGGTAACCTTTTATTTGGCCTGGCGTCCCACTTGAGAAGAGATTTGGAGAGAGATCATCTTTTCTAATTAAACGCAACCTTTTGTTTGTTTGTTTGTTTGTTTAATTGTTGAAGTACAAAAAAGCCAAGCGAAATTAAATGTTTCAATTGAATGTTGTGGATGAATGAGATTTTTAAAAGTGTAAAGAGAGAGGACAAGACATCGATGAGCAAATCAATGCAAAGGAATGTGCTGTTTGACTCGTGTATTCAGCAATTTAGCATCGAACACTGTTTATATTTTTATTGTAGGAAATTCATTCATAAAATGTAAAAATATAAATATACATTAATATTATTAAAGTAGGGCTGTCACGGTGGCCCAGTGGATAGCACAATCGCCTCACAGCAAGAATCATGTCGCTGGTTTAAGCCTCGGTTGGGTCAGTTGGCATTTCTGTATAGAGTTTGCATGTTCTTGCCGTGTTGGCGTGGGTTTCCTCCAGGTGCTCCAGTTTCCCTCATCATCCAAACACATGCGGTATTGGGGAATTGGGTAGGCTAAAGTGTCCGTATGTATGTGTGTGAATGAGTGTGTATAGATGTTTCGCAGTGGTGCGTTGCAGCTGGAAGGTCATCCTCTGCGTAAAACACATGCTGGATAAGTTGGCCGTTCGTTCTGCTGTGGCGATCCATGATTAATAAAGGGACTGAGCCGAAAAGAAAATGATTGAATGAAGATGATTAAAGTATTTTTTTCAAATTATTTTTTAAAATACTAATAAATTAGGAAATTACCATGGCAGCTTTAATGTGGTATATTTACCTTTGTCCCACCGCCCTCAATCAAGCTTGGTTTTTGTCCCTTCATATAGTTTGCCCATCCCTGATATACAGTTGAAGTCAGAATTATTAGCCCCTTTGATTTATTTATTTTTTCTTCTTTTTTAAATATTTCCCAAATGATGTTTAACAGAGCAAAGAAATTTTCACAGTATGTCTGATAATATTTTTTCTTCTGGAGAAAGTCTTATTTGTTTTATTTCGGCAGGAATAAAAGCAGTTTTTAATTTTTTAAGCACCATTTTAAAGACCATTATTAGCCCCTTTAAGCTATATATAAATTTTTGATATTCTACAGAACAAACCATCGTTATACAAGAACTTGCCTAATTACCCTAACCTGCCTAGTTCACCTTATTAACATAGTCAAGCATTTAAATGTCACTTTAAGCTGTATAGAAGTGTCTTGAAAAATATCTAGTCAAATATTATTTACTGTCATCATGGTAAAGATAAAATAAATCAGTTATTAGAGATGAGATAGTAAAACTATTATGTTTAAAAATGTGCTGAAAAAATTTAGACAGAAATTGCGGAAAAAAATAAACAGCCATGGTAATAATTCAGGGGGGCTAATAATTCTGACTTCATCTGTAGATGGATCGATTCAATACAAATGTTATTGATATTTCTAATATTGATCTTTTAAGACGTGAAAGTTACTTTCTAAATGGTTGAGACAATTAGATTATCACAATACTATATTAATTACTTTTCTAATTACTATTTCTAACAAGTAATTACATTTTTTGTGAAGTGGTTTAATTCCTTGTCTCCATACTTCTTTTAAAATAGCACAAAATTTGTGGTTTCCAGTATTATGTTATATTAAAATATACATTGTTGAAAACCATGACAATGTGCTAAAACAATGTTTGTTAAAGCTGCATGATGGACATCAGAGATGAATGTACTTTATTTTAGATTGTATGGGTTTAAAAAAATGATAATGCACGAGCTGCCACAGGATGGCAGTAGAAGAGTCATGCTGATTTATTGGTTTTCATATTTTTTTAAACCCCACATGATGCTAAAACTCTCTTTTTGTGTTGCTTTACATGCATTTGTTTGCATGAATGTGTTTCAGTCTGTGTGTGTGGAGTGAATTCCGTCGTGAGTGTGTGTGTGTAATGTGCAGGATTTCCTCTGTTAAGCTCAACGGATGCTTGTAATTTAATACGCTCATTAAAGCTCTCCTCTTTTCCTGTGTTCAGATGGAATGGAGGTCGACTCCAACACAGTCGCTGGACAGTTTGATGACGCAGACGTGGATCACTGGTAAATAGACAACAGTGTCTCTTAGGCATCTGCTTATTTAGAATTTATTAACTGTTAGTTTAGTTTCTGAGTTATTCTAATATTTTTTATAATTATTTATTTATTTATTTATCTTTCTTTTTGTATTTTGTTTTTATTTGAAACCAAATTACACCTTCCTAAAGAGAGAAAACAATTAAATAAATGTACGCATGCATGAACACATGGCTAATTTAATTAGTTGCATTTTAAATGAAATAAATTTGAGCAAATATTGTAAATTGATTCATAAAATATTCATTATTATTAATTTATTTGTATTATTATTAACAATTTTCATTTATAAATGTGTGTTTTAGTAAATAATACACCACACGTATGAGTTACAGTATAATACAAATAAATAAAGCAAGGATTAATGCCTGCATATATTCATGCAAAAGCCAAATTAACATGCAAATTATCAATATGCAAATTAGCCATAAAATAATGCATGCTGATATGAGCTGTTTTTTTGTTTTTTCACGCTCCTACTTTATGCAATGATTAAATGGAACCTGTAAATCCCCTGATCTGTTGACAGATGAACGGAGTCTCTGTGCAGCTGACTGAAGCACTTCAGTGGGGCATGCTGGCTACTGGCTGACTGACCCACATCTCACAGCTCTTGCAGCATTTAATGGACTGTTTTACACCTCGGCCATCATTTCCAGCAGACGCAGCCATGTGTAGGTCATGCTAATATAATTTCTAGTTTTCCCTAAAGACCAACTTCAAGAATTGTTCTCCTCAGCGGAGCCATGTTCACATGTTTGTTAGAGATTTCAATAAATACTGCCTTTTTTGTACTAAAGCCTAGTTTTCCCCCCTTTTTATTTTATTATTATTACTGTTACTTTGTCTTTTGAAATGCCTTTAGTTGGGTGGGTGTTTTTATACACTTACCGGCCACTTTATTAGGTACAACTTACTAGTACCGGGTTGGACCCACTTTGGCCTTCAGATCTGCCCTAATCCTTCATGGCGTAGATTCAACAAGGTACAATAATCCTCAGAGATTTTGCTCTTTATTGACATGATAGCATCACACAGTTGCTGCAGATTTGTCGGCTGCACATCCATGATGTGAATCTCCCGTTCCACCACATCCCAAAGGTGCTTTATAGGATTGAGATATGGTGACTGTGGAGGCCATTTGAGTACAGTGAACTCATTGTCATGTTCAAGAAACCAGTCTGAAGTGATTATCCTGCTGGAAGTAGCCATCAGAAGATGTGTACACTGTGGTCATAAAGGGATGGACATGGTCAGAAACAATACTCAGGTAGGCTGTGGTGTTGACACGATGTTCAATTGGTACTAATGGACCCAAAGTGTGCCAAGAAAATATCCCCCACACCATTACACCACCACCACCAGCCTGAACCGTTGATACAAGGGAGAATGGATCCATGCTTACATGTTGTTGATACCAAATTCTGACCCGACCATCCGAATTTCACAGCAGAAATGGAGACTCATCAGACCAGGCAATGCTTCTCCAATCTTCTATTGTGCAGTTTTGGTGAGTCTGTGTGAATTGTAGCCTCAGTTTCCTGTTCTTAGCTGACAGGAGTGGCACCCGGTGTGGTCTTCTGCTGCTGTAGCCCATCCGCCTCAAGGTTGGACGTGTTGTGTGTTCAGAGATGCTCTTCTGCAGACCTCGGTTGTAACGAGTGCTTATTTGAGTTACTGTTGCATTTCTATCAGCTGGAACCAGTCTGGCCATTCTCCTCTGACCTCTGGCATCAACAAGGCTATTGTGCACACAGAACTGCCGCTCAGTGGATATTTTCTCTTGTTCAGACCATTCTCTGTAAACCCTAGAGATGGTTGTGCACTAAAATCCCAGTAGATCAGCAGTTTCTGAAATGCTCAGACCAGCCAGTCTGACACCAACAACCATGCCATGTTCAAAATCACCAAAGACTCGCTTTGATGAGTGAGTTGGGTTGTAGTGAGACAGTAGGTTGGTTAGATAAACAGAAGCTAAATTATTTAAAGCTTTACAGGTAAGAAGCAATATTTTAAATATAATACAAAACTAACTGGCAGCTAGTGTGGGGAGGATAAAATTCATTCAGTTCCCAGTGGACGAAATTATGCACCGCACAATTTTTTACTCAATTCAGGACCTTTTCATTTGGATGTACATCACGATATGGAACACAAATGACAGCCTTAACTTCCATTTCATGGCGACTCTAAAACTCATGTTTGTTCACTTTATTTGAACCTAGAAATAAAAGTGTATTCAAATAAACCAGCTTTTGATTGGATAATAAAGCATTAAACTAACATAATCATCACATGACTTCATCATAATAATAGTCGATCGCTTTGAATGTCTATGTGCCTAAACGCATTGAGTTGCTGTCATGTGATTGGCTGATTAGATATTTGCATTAACGGGCAGTTGGACAGGTGTACCTAATAAAGTGGCCGGTTAGTGTATTTTAGTGTAATGTGTTAAAGGGATAGTTCACTCAAATTAAAATTTGTTCATTTACTTTCCGTCAAGTGGTTTTTAAACCTTTGAGTTTACTTCTGTTGAACACAAAAGGAAGATATGTTGGAAAATGTTGAAAACCGGTAACCATTGGCTGTCTTCCACAGTAGGAAAAACAAATGGCATGGAAGTCCATGATTGCACATTTCCAACATTTTTCAAAATATCTTTTGTTTAGGAACTCAAATGGGTTCATGAGAAGGGAAGGATGAGTAAATGACAGAATGGTCAGTTTTGGACGAACCATCCATTTCAAAGTGAGCTAAAATACTCCTTTAGCTCATTTATGGTGTTCAGTAATGGTCAGATGATTATGAGACGTCCTTGTTCCTGTTTAGTTCATTTCCTGCACAGGAGATAAAGCACTATCTGTGAGTTTAACCTCCAAATTACTTCAGAATCAAAGATATAAGAAGTTCCATCTAAAGAAAAGTAAGCCTATTAGTTATCCGCCAACCTGATTTTACCAAGGACATGTTCCTGCATTACCATCTATGCTGGAACAACATTCCAATCAGCCAATCAGAATTAAGAGATATGTTTATGTTAAGTTTAGCTTATGGTTAGATTTATGCATTGACATGATTGTTATACATCTTTTATTTCCCTCTGATTTTGGCAATAGTTTACAGTTATGATTTGGTTGAGGGGTAGGGAATGATAGGTATGGATTACATTTTCAAACAAAAAGGATGTTCCAGGATCAGCATAAATGTAAACCATTACATGATGCAAAATGTTGATGTGCATTATTTATTCTGTATCAGTAGCACAGGGGTCCGTTCTTCGTACGTGGATTACTCAGTTCACTGGATTTGGATATTGACGATTTGACACGATCCAGGATCATTTCGTTCTTCAAAGCTGATCTGAGAGTTGTTGTCATAGCAACAGTTCTGCTAGCTCAAACCTGATCGGGAGCAGGTTCAATTCATATAAACAGGATTAGATCGGCTCAGTTCAAGCAAAGATAATACAGAAAGTATGTTCCGAATTCTGATATTTTCTTACAGTAGTAGTTATATACACTTGGGAAAATGGTACATATTTTTTAACTATATATATAAAGTTATAGTTATTAATAAAATAAATAAAGTTATTTATATTAATAAAACGTATGCAATCTGCACCCTCGAAATGAAAGTACAAAGACTGCCACCTGGTGCAAAGAGAAAACTTATTTATATGAACTTTTTAGATCGCTTTAGTACAAATTGTGTATAATAGAAATACACAAGGTCAATTTTTTAAAGCAATAATACATTTATGCAGTCATAAACATGTTTTGATAGCTAATATGACAGTGATTTGATGCTTCACAAAAGTTGCAGACCAATATCAAAATGCTTTTGTAAACAACCAGTTATTCTTTACACCGATTAAAAAAACGGCTACTATAATAAAAAAAATCTTTTCTAAATGTAGAACTAAATACACTGATTTGCATTGAAATACATGATGAATACTCTTGACACATGAAAGTGTAAAGCCTGCAGCTCACAACAAATGTGGAAGGTTATTACGTATCATATTTAACAAACCATTTACTGCTAATTTGATGTAATTTTGCTCACATGGATAATTGAATATTAATCAGATGATGTCATCACGCTGCTGTGCCGTCAGCCAATCGTTGCATTGCTGATCATGATTTCGAGGATCGATAGATCTGTCCTTCACAACACACGCAGCGATCTCAGATCAGTTTATCCAGACATTCTAATCTGATTCGCGAACTTGTTTGAAGAACCAAATTAGCGAGAGATCAGTTATCAAGATTAAAAGATCCAGGATCTGTCAAATCATCTTAGATCATTTAAGCGAGGTACGAAGAACGGACCCCTGGGGTCCGTTCTTCGTACCTCGCTTAAATGATCTAAGATGATTTGGACAGATCTATCGATCCTCGAAATCATGATCAGCTTCCTATCACATATTAACTATCAAAACATGTTCATGACTGCATAAATGTATTATTGCTTAAAAAAAAAGTCACATATTGTGCATTTCTATTATACACAATTTGTACTAAAGCGATCTAAAAAGTTCATATAAATAAGTTTTCTCTTTGCACCACCAGGTGGCAGTCTTTATACTTTCATTTCGAGGGTGCAGATTGCATACGTTTAATTAATATGTATAACTTTATTTATTTTATTGACTATAACTTAACTATATATATATAAAAAATATGTATTTTCCCAAGAGTATATAACTACTACTGTAAGAAAATATCAGAATTCAGAACATACTTTCTGTATTATCTTTGCTTGAACTGAGCCGATCTAATCCTGTTTATATGAATTGAACCTGCTCCCGATCAGGTTTGAGCTTGCAGAACTGTTGCTATAACAACAACTCTCAGATCAGCTTTGAAGAACGAAATGATCCTGGATCGTGTCAAATCGTCAATATCCAAATCCAGCTAACTGAGTAATCCACGTACAAAGAACGGACCCCGGTTTCCCAATGAGCTCAAGCTTCACTGTTGTAGTGCAGATTTGTCTTCAGAGAACAAAATTTTCTGAATTAAGAGAGAATTTAAGTTAATTTTAAAATTAATTAAAATTTATTTAAATTTAAATTAAGAGAGAATTAAGTTGCTGGTTTAAGTCCCGGCTGGGCCAGTTAGCATTTCTGTGCGTACTTTGCATGTTCTCCCAGTGTTGGCGTGGGTTTCCTCCGCATGCTTCGGTTTCCCCCACAGTCCAAACACATGCACTATAGGGGAATTGAATAAACTAAATTGGCCATAGTGTATGAGTGTGTGTAAATGCAAGCGTGTATTCCCAATGCTGGGTTGCAGCTGGAAGAGCGCATCCACTGCATATAATATATGCTGGGTAAGTTAGCGGTTCCTTCCGCTGTGGCGACCCCTGATTAATAAAGGGACTAAGCTGAAAAGAAAATGAGTGAATGACAACAGAGAATAAAAGTGAAACAAACAATGCTTTATGGTATTTCCGGAGAGTCAAATAGTATTCAGAAACAAATTGAATAATCAAGTATAATGTAAAATAACACTGTGTAGTCTTCATTGTGCTTATAATTCCATATTCAGTAATTATTTTATGTTAAAGTTGCACACATTGCAATATACTAATGCTGAAACTAAATATATTGTGCAGCCCTACTTCAATGTAAGATTAAAAAAGAAGTCTGACAGCAAATCAAAGACTCTGAAGTCAATGATGTGCATGAATCTGTAAACATCCCACAGTTCTTTTCTATTTTCATCTGTTTGCTTGTGTTTTATAGCAGCTCTATGAGAAACTAAACACCTTCGTTCAGCATGTCTGTACATTCACAAAGGCTCAAAGGTCTGTCAGAAACTGTTTCACAACAGCATGTTTGACCTCCCGGGTTAAACAAGCACTGAGCCACGTGTTTTCATGACGGGTTTAATTATAAATATATTCACTACAGCTTCTTTTTTTATGTAATACAACGTGTTGTTCTGTATTTCACACTCTGCATTTGCTTGTAGACGTGGCACTCTATCTGGTCCGGTTCACCCAGGTTATTTTAACCAGGAATCATCCAAAGGCACTGCGAAATTGCTCTTAAGATTACTAAGACTACCATACAATCATTTACCCCTTACTAGATAAACTGCATCGCTATCAGAATGTAATATAACAGTGTTAGAACACTTCTCTAATTCCAGGAATGTCCATTTGTTGCAGTTTTACAATTGTGTACTGTTCAAATTGACTCCCCTTTCGTTATGTTGGGGGCTGTTTTTGCCCCATTGACTTCAATTATAATGACTTTATTGCAAAGCCATGACAGCATATGATCATGCATTCTTTGATTGTTGCTGGTTTTCCCTGTTGGGAGGAGATAAAATCTGTCATTTTTACTGTTGATCATCAGTTGGCAGCATTAACCCTTTAGATAGGCCTGTGCAAAAGAGTCTCTGGCTTTTATATGAAGTTCTATGGAGTAAAACAGCAGACTATAGCGTGTGTGCAGAAATATACTATATTCTGAGAGCTGAGCTGCTTATTTAGATTTTCTCAGACATATTATCATGATCATCGGCAATCCTGTGTAGTCTTTCCGCGTTTTGATCCTTGTCTTGTTTTCCCGTCATTGAAAAAAAAGGGCTATATCGTAAACAAATGGCAAACAGAATCAGACAATAAACTTTTTGAAATTCAGCCAGAAATCGGAATAAAAATCTAATTTATTTTTGAAGTCAAGACATGATGGGATTGTTTTTAGAAGATGCCGCACTGGACACACGAGACTCACGCATAAACATTTACTTAAAGGAGAAGAACCACCAAAATGTCTGTATTGCAACAGAAACCAAACAGTTAAACATATTCTTGTGGAATGTCCCATTTTTAATGTTATCAGACAACAATATTTATCAGGAGAGACTTTAAAGGAAATATTTTTAAATGTGAATCCATCTAAAATTGTACAATTCTTATCAAAAGTAAATCTTAAAAAACTGCTTTAAAATTTGATCTTATATATTATCATTATTATTATTATTTATGTATTTTACCTTGTACATTATTTATTGCTGTTGATGACTTTTAATTGGTAGAATATTTTTATAATTATAGAAAATTGGCGTTTATAAAACGTGATAAACTTGATCTATTTTCTTTTTGCCATGACATAGCCATATAAGCTGAAATGGCAATAAAATTAAATCTCTCTCTCTCTTCCCGTTGTTGATTCTTTGCCACTTGTACGGACCATTCACCTGTTTTTGACTACGATCTTGGATTACCTTAATGCTTCTGTTTGCCCTTGTTTTGACAGTTGCCTGCCTGATTAATTGGTTTATTAAACTGTGTGTGGCTCTTCAACTCTGTTGTCCAGCATCCTGGTGGTATAGAAGCATTAAGGTAATCAAAGATCGTACTTAAAAACAGGCCAATGGTCAGTACATGCGACAAAGAATCAATAACAGGAAAACAAGGCAAGGATCAAAACATGGAAAGACGACAGGATTAACGCTTCGTAATGCTACAGGATAACAAGACTCAGCAAAGTCGATGTGTGAGTGAGATGCATGTATAGTGCTGGTAATCAGTCATAAGCTTCCAGCTGTGTGTGAGTAATCAGGGGGAATCAGGAACTGGTGTGTGTGAGAGGTGCATGATGGTGTTTGTTGTCCAGGTCAGTGACAGATGTGTAGTTCTCCAGCGATCTGCAACCTCTCTCTCACACACACACACTTTTTAGTAAGCTCTTTTGCATATCAGTAAGTAAAGTTCGTACATGGAGCCCCTTTAACAAGTAAATGTTGTGCTTATTTGCATTTGATTCCAGTTCTTGGTTCTCATATCAATGTGCATTGAATGAAATGTTCCTGTAAACCTGCATTTCAGAATCATTGTGCTTCACAAATACGCATGTTTAAGACATTTTAAAAGCATGGAAAAATCCTTCTGACATCTAAACTGTCACGGTCCCTTCAATCTTTCATTATTACTTGAAGAATTACCGTGTTAACGATCATTTGTGCAGTAATCACAGCATTATAACCGCATGTGCATGAGAAATCAGTCTTGGATTGATTGTGGAGTAGCGTCTTATTTCACTTCATCTTTTTCTTCTTGAGTCCATTAGAGTTCAGCTGCAGTGGAATTGTGCTTTTTCCAGAAATGGCCGGGATCAGTTTATCAGAAAGCAGCAGAGAGGCTGACATACCTGCGCAAATGACAAGAAAAGTGGAAAAACAGCTGAAATTACAGGTGCAACATCGATGTCTTGCTGTTTTTAAAGAGCTGTGTTCATCTACAACAGATTACAATACATCTGACATCTGAAAACATATTAGAAAATCCAATGAATCATTTTGTAGTGATTCAATTTGGTTCCTTTAAATCGATTCTGGGGTTAAGGTCTGTAAGCCCCTCCCCTTCCAGAGGGCCCACTCTGTTCTGATTGGTCAGCTGATCAAATTTATTTTTGAATTCTTTCTATATTTAATCTGCTAAATGGCCATTTCAGAGTATTTGTATGAGTAAAAATATGCAATTATCAGGGTCACACTTTAATTTGATGGTCCGTTTGTTACATTGCATCTACATGCCAACTAATTCTCAATAGATTATAAGTACTGTAAGGTTGGGGTTAGGGTAAGTGTAAGTAAACGGGTATTTGCAAAGTTTTTTAGAGTCAATTAAATGTCTGTTGAATGTCTGTATTAGCAGATATTAAGCAGACAGTCTACTAATACTCAAAATACCATCAAAATAAAGCGTTACCAACATTAGTGCTGTTAAATGACTAATTGCAATTAATTGCATCCAAAAAAAAGTTCATATTTACAAAATATATGTGCTAGTCCTGTGTATATTTCTGGTTTTTGTTTTTTTTTTGTTTTTTACAACAATTTTCTGGTTCTCAAATCTGATTGGCTGATAGCCGTGATATATTAAAGCAATATCACTACAGCCTCTTCACCCTCGTGTATTACTCCACCAACTCTAGAACTAAAGAGAGACTAAACAACTCACTACAGTTAGATAAATATTGCTGCTGTTGGACAATATAATGTACATTTAAGGCTTTTTTAGGTGAGTGTAGTTGTTTAGATTGCAACTATGCAGTTTATTTATAAGGATAGTGCCTATTTTTGAAATATTCATAATTATGGATTCAGCACGATGGCAGCCATCAGTCTGCCATTGAGCAGAGTAAAAAGAGTTGATGTTCCTTCACAAGATGGCGACAGAGACCGCATAATAGGTCAGTTGGGGAGAAAAGATCAGCGTAAATTTCTAACTACAGCTGATCAAATCATTATAAATCATGTAAGTGACATGCTAAGTCGATCTCTCTCCTTTGTATGTTGTAGTGCTGTATTTATACAACACTAATCTGCCAGTGTTTGCTTTGTTTTGGCTTTTTCGGGGTTAATTATTATGATATCCAGATTGCAACAGAGGAGTACTGGAAAATCTCTGTAGACTGATGGCTTTTCATGCCGTTCAGCCTTATAATCTTAAAATGTAAACAAACTCATTTTGTCATCGCTTTAGACATTATGCTAAAGAATCATTCAAGTGCTAGCTCTAAAGTGACGTTGGTGAACTAGTAGCGGCTTCTGCTGTTCTGACTTCAGCTGCAGATGTGAATGAACGGTAGTAGTTCCTTATAAAAAACGGTTTTGAGACTCTCCGTGTTGGATTTTCTTTTTGAAACACACAATTACATTGTCAAACTGTTGCAATATCACGCGAGTAGCAGTGTGATATGGCTGTATATCATCACTGGTGGGACACTAAGGCGGTCTGCGGCCTCGATCCAATGCATGCTTCTAATCAGTACTAATATACAGCCATTTCGCACCGCTACTCGTGTGATATTCATTCATTTATTTTCTTTTCGGCTTTGTCCCTTTATTACACACACGCTCATACGCTATTGACAATTTAGCTCACCCAATTCACCTGTAGCGCATGTCTTTGGACTGTAGGGGAAACATATACAGAACTATACACAGCACACAATTTGACTAATATGTAAATACAAACTTTTATCATGGATGTGATTAATCGTCTGAAAGCACTAGCAAATATGCTACTTTGGTAATGTTGACGTACATCGATAGCAAACAAAACGTTTGAAAATATAATGGCTATTTCTCAATTCCAAGAACGGACTTGCGTGCTTGTGGAGACCGGTCTTGCCAGGTGTCCTCGGAAGAACGAACTCCGGAGACCGCGAGGGCAGAGAACGCGTCCTTTGAGAAATGAGATGCTGCGTTCTTCCTGATGGTCATGTGACCTTCACGCGTTTTAAATGGTAAATTATTTAAACATTACAGGATTCATACAGCGATTTATTGTTTTTCCTTTTCAACAGGTTGAATATTTAACTTAATATAAAACATTATAAATATACTCTGCACAATATAAATGAAACAGATTTTAATACGAATTTCAGCAAACAAACTCTCTTAATGTGTTTATTTCTTTATTAAGATGTTCATGGTAATGTTTACTTTTACCGCTTCATTTAGGGAAGCTCCTGAGGTAAATAAGTCATATCTCTGATCATTAGTAATAAATATAAATAAAATGTCCCATCTCCAGTCGTAATGACTTCTTGGACTTCCAGAGCGAGTTCAGGGCTCAAGTCTGCATTGGTGCGTCCTCGATATCAAGAACACATCCGGGACGTTTCACGCGTCCTCTGTACTTGCGGTCTTGAGTATTGGAACTGAACT